CCCCAAAACCCCAAAACCCCAAAACCCCAAAACCCCAAGAGCGCCATTTAGTTGAATTATAAAAATACTTAAAAGTTTAAATCAACAATATGTCAGCCAATGGAGAGATCAATGAAGTCGTAAGTCATTTGGTGATATGCTAAAGTGTTAAATCCTCATGTGAGGTTGTCTATATATTGCTATTAACAGAAATAATCTGAATTTAGAACCTCACATCCAAAGGGAACAATGATCCAGAGATGGAAACCAAGAGGAATTTATTCGAGTACGTTCTCCTATTTTCAAAGCTGCTTTAAACCTATTTTCAGTGTGTTATTTTTATCTATAAGGATATCCTAATGCTATCTTCTTCAATCAAAATTCTATTACTTAGATCTGCGCAAATATCTAAGAAGATCTAATTTTTTATAGATCGCAGGAGGGTCAGCCAGAAAAGAAAATTTCATTTCCCCCAGTTTACAAGAACACTAGAAGTGCAAGTGTAGATATAGGGAATTATCTCAAGTTTGATCATACTAGATTTGGAGTTAGAAATATCTCTTTCCTGCCCATAGATAAACAGCTTTCTGAGAAATAATCTCATAAAGAAAATGTCTAGGCAAGAACTTGACATGCCGATCAGCAAGAAACTTAACCCTAGTAATGATGAGCGATCAAAGTCTAAGAAGTCATCAAGTTCTATGGCAAAGCAAAAGACTTTAGGTGTTAAATAATGCAAGCATGCTTGTCCCGACAGCTGCTGGATTCATTGAATCACCCTTACTCAGTATCGTGTCTTTGTAATGTTTTAGCAAAGAAATCTAAAAGTTCGAACAAAAAGATTATTAATTGTAGCAAGAATCTTGAAAAGGAGCAGGCTGTAATGCGGACCTACATGAAGATTCATAACATTAAACATGGATATAACAAGGATGCTATTGATAAGCTTAAGTCAAAAGTAGATTCAGATGGTGAGGAACTTTCTATCATCACTTCAGGTATATTCCCTAATAATATACATAGAGGAAGAAGAGGAGGAACTATCAGTCAACGACTCGATAATCCTCAATGATGCTGAAGAGGCTAATATCCTCCAAGCTGTAACTGAGCTAAACACGGAATAAAAGACTGAGGGATCTTCTTTCCAGACTGGACTCCAAAAATTATGTGGGATCTCCTTGGATTCTTGTTTATCACCTATCAAAGCATTGTTATTCCCTTCAGAATATGATTCGATGCCAACGCAACAGGATTTTTGGCGATTTTTGAATTTAGTCAGGATATTTATTTCACCATTGACATCCTCATCTCTTTTAACACAGGTTATTACGATAAAGGAGTTTTGTACATGAAGAGAGCAATCATTATTTCAAAATATCTAAGAACTTGGTTTGTTCTTGATGTTGCTGCTATCTTCCCCTATTCATTCGTATTGGAGTTGTTCATCAGCGGAGAGAATAATGCAGCTCTTAAGACTCCCCAGTTACTTAGGTTACTAAAAATTATTAGATTTGTTAGAATTCTCAGGATTATTAGAATTTTCAAACTTGGAAAATTTATGTACAAGATTGAAGAATATATCGTCACTGATACATTGACAGTGATAGTTGATTCATTCAAACTCCTCATTTTCATCTTATATGTTGGTCACTGGCTTGGCTGTGTATTCCATTTTGTTGGTGATTACGAATCTACAACAAAACCGACAAACTGGCTGACGAATAATGATCTGCAAGATGAATCCCTTTTCAACAATTATATTGCATCGTTTTACTGGGCTATTACAACAATGGCTACCGTTGGATATGGTGACTTAACTCCTCAAACAAATGCAGAGATCTTGTTTACCATTTTTGGAATGTGACTTGCATGAGGAATCTTTGCTTATTCTGTAGGAGCTATTGGGACTATTGTAAATAGGCCCAATCTAATGACCGCAGAATTTAGATTAAGAATGCTACATATCAACCAGTTCTTGCTAAAACATGAAATTCCAAATGATCTCAGATTAAAAATTATGTCATATTTGGATGATATGTGAGAATACAAGAGAAAAATCAAACTTGATGAAAATGAAGTTCTAAACATGCTCAATGAGACTCTCAGGGATCAAGTAATTGCCTTCATCAATGGAAATATGATAAATCAGTCAGGCGTATTCCAAACATTCAATATCATGGTGATATCTCAAATAACCTTTAAACTACAGCACCATATGTTTTCAGTCGACGACCCAATGATAGAAGAGGGAACACCTGGCCTGAGAATGTACTATATAAGCAAAGGTGGTGGAATCCTTCTACACAAAAGAACCAGGACCTTTATTAAAGAGATAAAGCCAGAAGCCTGTGTTGGAGAGCTTGGTTTCTTCTCTAACCAAAAGAGAAGAGCAACTATGAGATCTAATACCTTTACTGAAGTTCTTCATATTTCTAAAGATGCCTTCCTTCAAATAGCTGAGATTGATACTGAATCAGGAAAGATTCTCAGGATGATTCAGAATAAAATCAAAAGAAAGAAGAACCTCTCATGCATTGGAATATACTGCTACATCTGTGAAAATCCTGGTCATATTAGTCTAGATTGTAAAAGCTTTCACTTAATCCAAGGTAATATCACAACGCATAGCAAGAGTTTTTAAAGATTTCGAGTCTCCACTAATCACACTCAGAAATCCAAAAGGAGGAAAGAATAAGTTCAGGAATAAACGTAAAGGAATGAGACTCATCAAGAAAGACTCAGAAGAGTTAGACAACCACATCAGAAATGCTATAAGAACCACTTTATACACCAATAAGGAGATAGACCTCGATAGAATAGAGAACCTAGTTGACCGAAATACCATTGATGAGAAACTTTTCCTCGAAATGGTTAATAACCGAAAATAAAAGACTCAAAAGAGCTAAGAAAAGTAACTTTTAATCATACTTTAGAGCTAACAAAGTCAATAAAAATGCAGAGGACTAGGCAAACTCTCAAGCTTGAACAGTTAGATTCAATAGCTCCCGTAGCCCAAGTTGGTAGTATTTACTTTTTCTAACCATTATTAGTACCAAAGAAATTATCATCAAAGAAGAAATCGAAATCATTCAGAATTTCTATAGTAAAAGACCCTGAAAATTTATCCTCAGTTGAGGAAGATCTTACTCAAAACCATAAAGATGATGATGTTGAGTATCTAAATAGAAGGAAGCAATTTATGAGTAACCTCAACAGCTAAAATCTTTAGGAAAATCTCAAAAAGAAAAGGAAAGAACAAGGCCTAGAAGAATCACCCGTATCATCAATGATGAGAGTAGTGGCGAAGAGAGTAGCATCGCCTGTATGTTTCCCGAGTAAAATATAGCACCTACTAAGCTCCGAAGGAACCAAACCAGCATCCCGTTCAAAAGATTAAGCAACCTTAGAGCTGACTCTACTTCCAAGGAGAGACTGAAGGAGGCTAAAAATGGGACTGTAGTCAGAAAGCAGATGGTGATCGATAAGACTTATAAAATGATCAGGTAGAACTATGCCTGAGTGACATTTATAGGCACACTATTGAAGAAGTCACCTCTTCTAGCCAATCTGTAAGACTTCTATCACAAACCCATAGGCTCTAAATAGAGATTATGACGAGGAAGAGAAGTTTTCAAGACCTAAGCCTGCACAGTATGTTCTAGCGTATGATCTATAGAATAACAGAGGACCCATTCATGAGAGCTAACTCTCTTATTAAGGAAAAAGAAGGAGGAAAGTTTGCAAATATGCTCAAAAGGATCGACACTTTCCATGAGGTAAGCACCTTTGACTAGAAATAGGAACATAAGAAATCGACCCAACAAGAGCCCACAGACGCACCTACAAACCCTCGAGGGTCTATCAACGATAAAATCTCCACTAAAATCCCAGGTAACTCCCTTCCCATCCCTCCTCTTCCTCACCCCTATCCCAACCCTCAGCATGCCTTAACATCCCTCTTCCTCCTCTCCATCTCTCAACTAAGCCAAGGCTTAACTCCTAGAGCCCCTTCGTACTGTATCCTAGACCGTTCTGCTTAACCCCAAAACCTAATTTTGGCCAATAGAAGTCCAAATCCCAGATAACATCTCTCAAGATTTCTTTAACAAGATCTTTCATGAAGAAGAGTCAGGGATTTTTGACCCTGATGACCCGAATTCAAGGGGTTTTGAGAATTTTCAGAAATTTGAAGAGTTCAAAAAAGCTAATGAAGAGTTGTTCAGTGAACGTAAAATGGAATTTTAAGAATTTTTAGAGGGGATATATGCTTTTTAGGGCTCAATTTGGGGAAATACAATTGGGGTTTTGGGGTTTTGGGGTTTTGGGGTTTTGGGG